TGAGTTTTACCAAAAAACATTGAAAGCCAAAATATGAAATTATTTAAAGTGGATTGGTCCTTATCAATTCAGTTATAATTTTTTTCGCGTAAAATTGGTTCACATACATTATTACACATTATTTAGTTTTTACACATGAAATCGGTTTTTATTTTAGTAGATTTTATGCATAACATGGTCACTGGGTCACACAATGAATATGAATTATTTATACGTGAAAGATTTTCCACATATAAAATATAATTAGCAACTATAAGCAATAACATTTTATCCAGTTTTGAAAGCGAATGTTATGTTTTAGAATTGAGAAAGTTAATTTTAGAATTTAAAATAGATCTACATGATTACACATTTTCATTTGTTAATCTTTTTGTATTTTGTCATGGAAGAAATTTGCAGGACAACACAATATTGCCTCTAACCCTAATCTATTTAATCACCGTTTTTTGTCAAGTGGTAGGGAAAAAAAAATAATGTGATTCTTCTGTGCCAAGTATTCATTCATTCATTCATTTGGTCAATATCAACATACACAGGAAAAAAAACAAATAAAACCACTTATAAAACCATTTAAAACAGTAATTCAAAATATATTTTTTTTGTATAGCGTATGTAGGGTATTATATTATAAATGTTTACTATATATTAGTGACTGGTATGGTATGGTATGGTTTAATATCTCACCAGGAAGCAGAGCTTAAATCTTTGGTCAAACCTGAATGAAACTGACAAAAGTGATATGTTACTTGTGGGTCAACTAATGACCTATTTTGACTTTGCTATATAGGCTAGCGGTCAGAAATTGATTAAGTACTGTAAGAATCTTACATATGAAATTTCTTACTTTACTTCTCATGGCAAATCGCATTATCCACCCCCTCCCCCATTGCTAAATCCTAGATCCGCCACTGAAAGGAGGATTATACGAATTATTATCATATTATATGAATTTCCTGTGAGACACTGTAGAGCATGGAGAAACCACGAAAGTATGAATACTTAATATCTGGTGATGAATTGAGTAGTAGCCTGGGAGAAACAGAGTGTACCCTCGTTCTTATGTGTACGTGGGCCATATTGCAATTAAACAGGACAAGTTGGACGGTTGGCTGCTAGCGAAGAGTATACTCGTCCACGATGTTGCTAAGGCCGCCAGGGACGAGTTTTTATGCTCGTCAAAATCGAGGTAACATTCTAGCGTTTATAACGTTTTTGTTATACGTGGAACCACAGACTCAACGGCTGGTGGTTCA